GCAGATGCCACAGGTCGACTGTCTGCGCAAACAGATCACGGAGCAGATTCGATACAGGATGCCTATGATCGTCACGAACGCAGTCATCTGGAAAGAGTACTCCGAGAGTAAAGAGCTTCTGAAAGCCGTGCATATGCACTTGTTCGCATACGCCAAATTCTAACCGGCCACATCTGGTACCGAAGATCAATCGCCCTGTGCATCACAACACCTACAATTGAAGCAGAGAGAGGGAGAGATTGTGTTTTTCATGAGTATTCGGAAGTATGCTGTAGAGCTGTTAGCTCGCTTTGTCTGTCCTAAGAGCATTCCATGTGATCAATCGTCGAATCACTAGATACGACCAAATGTTGGAGAAACACACGGAGGAGTTTTGTCAGTAGTGACTGATTGTGTTTGGGAGAAACAGTCTGTTACGATCTGTTTACAGGAGGTCAAGATCATGTCGATCAATGAGAATATCTGTTTATCTTGTAAGATTTCCACAATTGCAAGTCCCATCATAGGTTGACTTCGTATCTCTTGCCAGTATAGACGTTCACAGTCAAACCCAGGTGTGGTGTTCTGGTAACAATGTCACATCAGTAGCATGCATCTGGTCTGACCATGCATCCTCGTACACATCATGCTGCATGAGCCCCAGCAACTAGCGATATAACAGCGGGTCACTGTAGGTGGCCTGACCATTTTTACCGACCCATTTCCGAGCCAGTGCCGCTTTCTGAACATGGCCGCGGTTTTTGTGTTGGCCTCGGCCGGGAGAGCATGTACCGCGGCTGTCCTACACTGCCGATGGCGGAATGAATTGGGTTGGCAAGAAAGAATCGTATGGGTCAAATGAGGGTTCTTTATACACTGCTCGAGGTGGAATCTGGCCGCAGAACCAGCAGAACAAACGTTGAATGTGGCATTTTACCGAACCATTATCATTAATACTACAAAAGCGAGTGTCCAATCCTCGTTGGGTATCAAAGAAAACCAAATCCTCCTGGTATCGAACAAATCCAAAAGCAAATGCGACATGCAACCATCATACATAATCCGTTGACAACATCTCATCTCCGTCAATTTCGATTTGATCACGTTCCATCGTGTCTTCGAGCACTTCAAAACCAGTCGCTGTTGACTAGAGCTGTTCGAGAACACGAGCGTTCACCGTCTGCTGGATGGCATCGGGATAGGCGTTGGAGGTGCCGGATGGCAGTGAGGAGGGCCCAGCGTGCTCTTCGTTCTCGTCTTCGAGCTGCCTCGCTACTACATTGCCCGAATCGGCTGGACCCGGCATGAAAATTACCTTCGAGTTTGCGGATTTGGCCATCGCCTGCATCGCTTCCAGGTATCTGATCTGCATGGCCGGTGCGGAGGACAGAATGTCGGCAGCCCTGTTCTCACGTTAGTACTGCACAGTAGGTGGAAGAGTAGACGATGTGACATACCTTCTCATGAGCTTAGCGCTCTCAACTTCAGCACGAGCTGCAATGACCTTGGCTTCTCCCGTACGCTTGGACTGGGCAGCCATGGACAGCGAATCCTGCAATTCCTGGTTGAAGATCAAATCCTTGATGAGCATAGATTCGACTTCGACACCCCAACCGGCGGAGGTCTCTTCGATGATCTCGCGGATGGACTGGGCAATCTCCTCACGGCGCTCGATGACATCCTGAAGGACGCGGGCGCCTACGACGTGGCGAAGTGTTGTCTGCGTACGCTCGACGAGAGCTTGGCGGATATTGGCAATGCTGAATGCGGCCTTGTGAGGGGAAGTGATGCGGTAGTAGATGACTGATGTAAGCTGCAGGGAGACGTTGTCCTTGGTCATGCAGACTTGCTTGGGTACTTCGACGATCTGGATCTTGACATCGACCTGGACGAGCTTCTCGGAGAGAGGGTTAATGTAGACAAGACCGGGGTCGACAGCACGGGCGAATCGACCGAACTTTGTAACCAGACCAACGTTTCCTTGGTTTACAGGCTGGTAAGGGTTCGGGCAGCAGAGACAGCAAGGAATGGCACCAAGTGTACCAACGATCCCTCCGAGAGTATTAACCTAGGTGGTGTGAGCTCTTTGTCTGACGATAGTCAGGTGATTTACATACCATTGCACCATACCAGCCGTGGCTATCAGCATCAGCATCATCTGGCTCGATGACCTTTGCGTAACTGGGCTGCAAGTCTTCACGGCGAGGAGGTTGAACTTTAACGATGGGCTCGTCACCGCGAGGGGCGGTCCCGTTGGTGCCGTTGACAGGCATGGGAGCTTTGCCGTTGTCTTCCATCGTGGCTGTGTTCGTAGAGATACTGTATTTATCCAAAATGGGTCGCGACGAAGAAGATGTAGATTCGGCGATAGTATGTGTATCGTTCATATGGTACGGCACCATGTTGGACAGATGCCGTAGCTCTTATACATCTGACATTCATGATCACAGTAGCTGCGGGGAAGCTAGTAAGTGACGCGAAGTGGAACCCTGCACCTGCATCTGCCTCGCGCTAACACCTTCCTGGCCACCCTCTTGGAGGCTGTGCTGGAGAAGCACAATGAATTCTCTGAATGCAGTCACCATGGTAACAGGTCACACAGCATCTCGCGTAGCCACGTTTGGTATCAGGACGTAGCTCAGCAACGGGCGACTTCAATAACTATACTGCGATCAATCAGTGTTTGTTCTCTCATTCAACAGCTCGCAATTCAAAACTCGCAGCGCTTCATCCTTACAACACCGATTCACGCCCGAGCGCCACGTGAGATCGGCACAGCAACCTCCAGGCCTCCCATCCGCAGCTCCAAGCAAGCCTCAGTCGGTTAACACGGATTCCTTATCGACTCTAAACCCAAACAGCGGGCCTTAGTGCGCTTGTGACGTAGCTCAATTCATTCCGTGTCTGCCTCAGTGGCTCGAACAATATCGTATTGTCCATACAGACACCGTCCAGTAAATGCTCGCAATATTTCCGATGTCTATACGTCAATAGCTTGCGCTTTCGGCACACCGGCCTGGATCACGCGCCGCTGTAGCGCCACGGCTTTGTACATCCTTGGGTTCGCCTGATTCGGCTCAGCCTTACCGGTGGCGTAGCGTCGAATTTTGGAAGCTTCAGACAAGCTCGTGAGGCTCATGTCCGCTCAGGCAGGAAATAAATGTCTCGCGCTGCATGACTTTGAGGCTGCGGCGTCGGAGATGCTCCGGCCTGAGCACTGTGGGAATAACGGCGCGGTCCCTGAGTTTTGCTCACTGGTGCGCCTGACTTGGTAAGATACGAGGCGCAATGGTGTTGCTCAGGGTCTATCATCTCATTATTCCCATGCGCATTTTCGACGCGCAGAACAATACCCCATAATTCTGGAATCTGCCCTGGGGTTCGCCACGTGGGTGACAGCGTGCATCTCCAAGCCCTCCAAGATCGCACTGTTCGTATTGGTTCTTGACCGGTGAGAGTGATCTCGTAGAGACGAAAATCGTCTGCGTTGTTTTTGCACTGCCTCCTCAGTGAGCGCATTTCTCGCATCCAGACATAATGGCTCACCGAAGGCTCACTTTAGTCACTTGTCATCCTCTAGTTCGCGTCTTACAAAGAGATGCTATTTCGCGCAACGGCGTGGTAGCATAGCCATTGCCGGCGCCAGTTCTCATACTTGGTTTAGGCATTGCTGTGCAAGGGCCGCAAATATACTCGCCTCCTGGAGATTGTAAATTGATCTAGTTTAGGGTCGTTGACACTCCAGAGACGCTCAAGTTTCTTGTGGAAGATCACTCATTAAGATTGGCGATGCAACCGGCCATACCCTTTTATGAACCAAAAACTATTATGCCTCAATTATATAGGCTGCAAACATATAATTGCCATAATATCCAGACCTTGAATTACTCGAGGTATGGGCAGTCCTGTGCTCAGGTGGGATTGTGCAGATGCTCAGACATCTGCCTTGAACGATAGAAACCCGATTCAAAGATATCACAATATTACCACAAGCTTGATAAATAACCATGGACGGTCATCCTCCCCCCAACACACTATTCCTTGTTCAGATTCGTTCGTTCCACTGTCTGCAGTTTTGGATGAAGTACACATGCCCATTACACTGATCGGTCAAGGAATCCACAGATAACAATTCAATCGTTCAAATCATAATCCGTCAAAATTCTGTGACGAGAACCCAGCTGTGCGTCTTCACAACGTTGCAGTCCAAGGACACTTGCTGTTCGTCCTCGCATGTTCTAGTAAGCAGATACTTGATCTGACTCTCTACATTCTCGTATGAATCACCGCCTGCCTGAGGACATAGGATTTAGTGATCTGAATTCGAGTGATGGAAACATATCGACATACTAGATCACGATTATAGTCACAATAGATCTACCATCCGGTGAACACGTACTGAACGCAAGGGAAGAAGCATGTCACCCAAGGCTCCCCGTACTAGGTGACATAACTCTGCAAGGACCACTACCTCTATATTGCATCCAACGACGTCCCCACAGCTGTGGACCAAGCCCACAGAGCTTTTTCGAATTTAATATGTCGGATCAGACAGGGAAACCATATATTGTGTTATCTCTACGTGCGATTTACTCCCCGTTCTTTCCCCTCTAGTAGCTCCAACATGACAACAAACCTATCAATTACGGTCGACCATCGTCGATCAAGATGATCGTTGAATTTATCTGCCTCAACTCTCACACGTTTACCAGATGAAGGTCGAACAGATACTGCAGTATTTTGCCCAATCTTTCGTCGGCGATCGCTGTCAGGATAGACTCACATTGATCACTACCGCAACGAGGAGCAGACGATAACTTTCTGAGACTTTGGTTTTTGTTCTCTTAGGTCATTAGTCACGTAAGCTCACGAGTATCTGCGTTGGCGCGGTTCCACTGCCCCTACGTGCAGTTCGAAAAAAATCACGATCACTCAGCCAAAACGTTACCATGACGGACGATCACAAAGACAGACATGCACTCTTTCAGGGCAGACGTACTGCTCATCACGCAACAAAAAACTTGCCTCGCCCGACGTGAGACTCGAACTCACAGCCTTGGGATTAAAAGTCCCACGCGCTAACCCTTCAACATCGTTAGAACCACGAAATCACATATCGCTAGAAGCGAGGAGACCTACAATTGTGCCAGCCGGGCCGAAAAAGAAGGCGTGTCCCCTGCCAGATTCGAACTGGCGGCCTTCGGATTTCTGCTCTTAGAACAGTCATACTCGATGAGATATGAGACCGACGTGATAACCGACTACACCAAGGAGACCAGACAACTCAATTGAGCTGTTGTGATTAGATAATCAACTTTCGATTCAGAGCGTACATATTTCAAGTGACTGAACCTCGTTGCTGAGGCCCTAGAGGGGCCTCAGATGAACCTGAAGCATCCCGCCAAATTTTCCAGATTTTGTGTCCGCTAGTGTTGTGTGGATAGTGGGTCCATAGATCAACGGGGAGATGGGCCGTACAGGCACCTCCACATCAGTGTCAAAAAGAGACAAAGCCCTGCTGGTATTACGAGTGTTTCTGGAAGACATGGCCTCATAGCATTGCTGCAAAGCCTTCCTAACCCGTGACGAGAGTATGCTCGACAGGTGTTCGTTCAGTATGGGTGACGGTACGACGAACAATTGTAGTTGACAGGTGGCATGGACCGATTCGAGAAAACTCGAACAGATATGCTTGTGCGTAACTTGGGGAAGATGAGGTGCATAGCGGACCCATGTAGTTGGGACATGTAAACGGCGCGGAAGCCTCAATCACGGCCCGGTTGCTCCAACACACAAAGCATATCGTCCAAATCTTGCATTGCTTTCAATCGAAGAGATGCCGAATTACCATTCTCAGTACGGGACGGCACGAGGCGAAGGTGGTATCCGGCCGCGGGCACAGCCGCGGGCTCAGTTCAATAGTTGGCTCGGACTCTGCTGAATCAACGACCACATATCTCTGCCACGAACGTTTCTTCATCCTTGTGCGACACCCGCTGACGATTGCACGGACAGGTGACATCTAAAACCTTCAAAGCCCTAAATAGCCGCCGGGTGGGTCACATCTTGGGCTGAATGCACCGCAAATCTGACCCAACGCCAAAGTGGATCCGCTGGGCAGCCATGCGAACAGCTTGGTAGACTACCGGCCACTTGGAACCCAATCAGGGTACTTTCGGGCAGCAAAACATTTTGAGATTGTGAGGAATGTGAACAGTGACTCACTGTGCTGTCGGCCCATTACTAACAGCGTAAGGATTCCGTCACAACGCTAAGACTTGTTTGTCTCAGCCGCAACATACCCAACAGCCCAGCAGCCTCTCGGAAAGACGCTATGGCATCGTTGTCAAGACCAGATTGGGCGGCTCCACATGTTCTTACTTTTTGGTGATGTATTGTGGGCGACGCTAGGCGAGCGCGCTAAGTCTTTGTAAAACGCCACTGCTTGAGCAACCTCAAGCTCATGGATTAGCAGACTCCGTGCATTAGATGTTAGGTTGTCAAGGTTTGGTAGACATTCGGTTGCCTCAAAGTAGATTCTTGCTGTCCAAAAAGGTCCAGAAGATCAAAAGTGATAAGGGTTATCTTGGTGATATAACACTGCACTAGCTCCTTGAAAATTGAGCAGGGCATTCATAATGTGACCGAGCTCTTGAGATTGGTCGCCTCGGTATAGAGAAGACTTTGGTGGAAGGAGTTGAGTCGCTGTCGGCCTTCCCAAAACATCAGCTTTTCGTCAAATTCGATTCGAGCAGCCCAACTCCGCGTCAGCTGCTGCTGCAAGCCGCGTAGCACTTGCACTTCTGATTCTAAATCTGAACACATTCTTTCTTTGACCTGGTACTCGGTTTTTCATGTCGCGCAGCACACTAGAAGAGCGAATGCTATTGCGCCAGCTGTCCAAAATCGTATGGCGGAGCATGAACAGATGAAAGACAGGGTTGTACAGCGACAAATTGCCACAGCTCCTGATGAAGAGGGTGGGGGTTTATTGGCTGTGAGCGCACCCTTTGCTGAGGCCTGGCTGGACCACGGCTTCTGTCCACGGCAGGCCGGTCATCAGATCGAAGACCATCGTGTCTCAAATCGCAAGTAGTATGGCTGGTGTGACGAGGAGAGGAATGTGATTGTTCCAATCAAGGTGAAACTGAAGGTCTGCACGATGTTCCTTCTCCATTCTGGCTCCGCTTCCACAAGGAGTATGGTTCAGCCAGAAGGCCCTGAGTGCCGTGGACACGATAACGGTCATGGAGCGTGCCACGAGGCATGATGCGCATCAGCGGAAAGCTGAGGTATGACGCTGAAAAGTGTAATCCTTCGAATCCGTCTATCAGAAGGCACGAATGCCACTCGATGCTATGCATCCTTCTTCACCGGAATCCTCAGCGACAGCGGGGTATCAGACGCAGAGCTTCGTCAGCGCGCGTGATGAGGGGAATTCTCGGAACGAGGCGACATGGTTACACCAGGTACAGCTGTCTTCATGTCGTTGGTCCACCAGCCGGACGTTGTACGCTAATGGGTGGCAGTTTCTCGAAGGCCGTGATTCGCGGCGACAAGACGGATACCTACATGGTCAGCCTTGATGCTGAACGATCGAACAGACCCGCGTGGCGAAGGGACACATATTCCGTCTCGCTGCGCCTTTAATGAGCTGTTGCGAAATTGAAAGTGCTGTGTTGTTCCTGCATGGCCAGCGCGACTGACGTGGCTAGCTCACAGTGAAGCAGCAGGGCCGACACCAGACTGTGCGTCTGCGATCATAGCGGATTGCAGAAGATCGAGCGCGAAATCAGATGAAGCTAGGAACGAGTGGTCCTGCCATCGTTCACCGTGTGAAACGTGGGGTGGAATTGTTGAAGCTGCCAAAGAAGTGCAAGCTAATGTGAGGATGATACAGGCATTCGCGGTGGAGAGGCAGGGATCAGCGAGGCTAGTGTCTGAAATGGTCTGGCTCCCGCCCTTAGCGCGGGCTACCAGACTTCTTGTGTGCTGGCGATGAAGTGGTCATGAATGGGAAGCCTCCACGAAGCGGTGAGCGCGCCCTCGAGCAGCAGGAATGGTTAGAAGCGTGCATGGCGATGACGGGCAATCCCGGTTTTTGTTCGTCACCCACAGCACTGCTCGACCAGTTGGGATGACGATGCAGCTTTGTTTGAGACGTTGGTTCATCTGAAGAGGCCCAATCGCAAGGGATCGTCTGTGAAGCAGGAGCGCCGGTCATTGCGCACATGGAAGACGTTGATCGTTACAGGGTATTGCCCGTGAGGAAGCGACCGTCTCGCGAAGTGCCGCCGTGGGTCAATTGCTTCAGGTGTCAGAGTCAGGACACTCGGAGGACGGGCGGACTGGGTGATGACGCCCAGCGTGCCCGAGGAATGCGGGACAGGGCAGAGGCGGCGACACAAGCACAGCGCTGTGCACCGTGTCCGCAGCAACAGGGCGCTCCGCTCAGCATCTGCCATGGTCAAGAGTGGTGCACACTGCGTCACGACGGCGCACTCTGGCCGCCAGAGGCAACGAGCGGACGAGAGCATCCTCCAGTCTTGTGACGGAGTGTGCATCGCGGGCGGCCCCTCCACCAGGCCGTGGGCATCAAGCTTGCTGCGGTGCGCGCCCAACGACGTTTAGACGCAGCGCGCATGAGAGGCTACGGCCAACTGGGGCTTTTAGCACGGCAGGGCGGCTGGGCCGTTTTGAAATTTTGCTGGCGGGGATGCGTCTGCGTTGCAGCAGTCGATGCCCGAGTGCGCCTGCATGCATGCCTGCAGCTCACTCAGTCGCCCAGACACCCCAGACTTCTTTCTCACGCCCGCTCCCTCACTCCTTTCTCCTCCTCGTCCCGCCGACTCGACATGAGACGATAGCAGCGCCCTCCTCTGCCCGTGCAAACATGCGCACCCTGCGACCACTGACCGTCGTCTAGTTGTTGTCGCAGCGATCGCCCGCGGGCACCCATCATTTATCGATATCCTCCCGCCGCTAGACATTTTCCCGACCAGCGCAGCTCTCCGCCAGCCTGAGAGGTGCTGCAACTGACCGCGGGTCCAACGCCCACCATGGCGACCAAGAACATGCAGCCCTACGTCGAGGACTGTTTCTCCGACGACGGCCATGACGGTCAGGGCGTGTCCATCAATGAGGCCTTCTCGCCTGAGCCGTCGCCAGGCAAGGCAAACGTGCGCACTAAGCGCTCCAACCCGGGTGATATGGGGTCTAACGGGACCCAAAAGGGACCAAATATCGACGTCAAGAGCGACTCTGGGTATTCCAGCCAATCCGTCGCCGGCTTGAGTAGCGCTGATTCGGCCGCAAGTGCTGCTTCGTCCTCGCAAGTCCCGTCGGCCCGTCCAGCGGCCCCGTCACCCACACCAGCGTCGAAGCCCTCCAGGAGGCCCTCCACCACCCGTAGGGAGAGCACTCAGAGCTCCCAGAGTGCCTCACGTCCCGCACCATCACGCAGAGAATCGCAGACGTCGCACCGGCCAACCGCTGAACGACGTCGAACGCTGACGACCCCACAACCACCTGTGCCCAAAGAGCGCAGGGACAGCCTTAGAGATGCTGAATCTCGACCGCGTCTGCACTCCCGCCGCCTATCAATGCTCAATGCTCAGCCTGCCGAGTCTGCCCCAGATGTGTCCCATCATCACGTCCACGACACCCGGTCGCAGGTCTCAGACCCTGCACAGTACCCGGGCTCCTCGCCAAGAGAGAGTCGACCTCCTCCTCGCTATCACACACCACAGGGCGGACCTGTGATCCAGCCCGCTATATCGCGACGTTTGTCAGTGAGCAGTCGCCAGCCACGACCTACCAGCTATCATGGAGAGTCTCCTTATCCCTATATGCCTCATCCACATGTACCACAGGAACATGGCCCGCCTCTATCCAGATCGGCATATGGCAACATGCATTTTGTTCACCCTCACATGAATCAACCGTACATGCCTCAGTTCCCGCAGCAAGGTTATGCCCCAGCCCCAACTGCATACATGCAGGCGCAGCAGATGCAGCCCATGCGCGATCAGCAGAGACCTCAGCTGCAGGCGCGTACCCAGACCCTTAACTCTGCCTACCCGCATCCTCAATCGCCAGTGACGCATGTAGAACGCAGTGGCCGCAACATGCCTTCAACGCGATACCACACCAATCCCCCGCCTCCGGCCCAACGCCAGCCGACTCGCATAGCCTACCCCCAAGAGCAAGACGACTCTGAGTCTGAGTCTGAGTCTGACTATTCTGAAGAAGAGCCTGATCACTACGCAAGATTCCC